CAGATGTCAGTTTTTGGACACGTTTTTGGACACGTGACTGGTGAGTTTGGGACCGGACGTTGTTCGTGTTTCGTTTACTGCGTATTTTCACCGCGTTTGCGTATTCATATGTATATCTGTCAGATAGAGATGTTTTCAGATAGATCATATGAACCTACACGGAAATGTTAAAGTCGGGTATTGGTCTTGGGTTCACAGCTGGTTTCCTTGTGACAAATAAGTTTGACAGGATTGTGAAAGCCCGAGATTTGGCTATCAAGCGTAGCATTGTGGAGGTGGCCCAAGAGCAGTTTCGTTCAAAGCAACCAGAAGTAGCTTCAGTTCCTATTCCACCTCAACCCAGTGAAAAGGACAGAAAGGGCCATGAGATGACTCATACTCCTTTTCAACCATGGTGCAAATTTTGTGTCATGAGTCGTTCCCGGGCAAACCAACATCCTCATGTTGCAGATCACGCGCAAGATGCGCAGCGTGAACATCCTACAGTGCAGTGTGATTTCTTTGTCATGGAAGCTGGGAAGGAAGATGCAGTGGTAGCACTCTTGATGGTTGATGTTTGGTCAAGGTACGTATCAGTGGTCCTCAAACCTCGCAACACTCAGACAGTTGGCAATGCACGTATGAAATTTCTCAATGAGGTTGACCGTGCAGAGAGAGCTGAACTGCCAGGTGACAATGAATGGGTCCTTGCAGCAGGCATGAGATTTTGCCAATCAGCAAGACAGCGCCTTGGACTGGAAACAATTTTGACCTGGAACCAAACTATCAGAGGACTTCGAAAGACATTGATATGCCATCTTGAGTTTGCAATTCAAGCCTCAATCCCAGCTGGACATGCGATGATTCATTGGGCTGCAATGCACGCAGCTTGGATTTACAGCAGATTTCACGTGCACGCCTGTCTCAAGGCGACACAATTTCAATCTTTGTTTGGTCGTCCCTACAGAGGAAAGATTCCACCTTTTGGACAGGTTGTTTTTGGACTTGATCCGAAAAAGCCCAGCCTGGATCAGAGGTACTTGGTTGGGAAAGGACTCAGCAGATATGGATCTTCTTACAAGCGATGGCAAAGCGTGATTTGAACAAAGGCACTAAAAGAATTGGTGAAGAGTGGGATGCAACTCTAGTCCTGGAGGAAGCAGGACTTGAAAACCCAATGAGCCCAGTATCAGTTTCAGCGGCACAAACAAACATGGAGTTTGAGCAAGGTGGGGCTGTCCCTGTGACCCCACTAGACATGGCAAGTGATGATGAAGACGCTGATATTCCTTCAAGCTCTACAAAGCATTCTGCAAGCACCCCTCTCCCAGGTGAACATGGCAAAATGCAGAAAATGGATGATGATCCAACGCCTGTGCCTAAAATCAAGGCAGCACGTACAGACACCAATGTGAATCAGGTAGCTGCGTAGCTGAAATTGAACGATGCCATAACGATGGGGATATGCTTCCAGAGGGTTGGGAAGACAATGCAATGGTTCCTGACTCTGAAGATGAGTACATCGCAGAACAAGGAGGAGGGCAAGGTCCACCCAATGTCAGTGCCGACAAATTGCAGCAACTGGATGAAAGAGCCGCACTTGATGAAGTGGAGAAGCTGTTCCAGATGGATGTCATCCAGCCCGTGGTGCTTACAGAAAGTGAAGCATCTACAGAGAATGTGGGTGACACTACATTTGGTGTATGACTGGCGATACAGAATGACTGGCGATACAGAAACAACCAATGGGTGAGAAGGTGCCGTATAGTGGCACGAGAGTTCAAGAGAAGTTCGATAGATGAGAACAATTTCTCATACATCTTCATTTGCCTCAGTACGCATGCTCCTTGTGCTGGCCCTCATCTACGATTTGGCAGTCACAGCTCTTGACGTGAAAGATGCATTTTTGATGGTTTCTCAAAACGTGATCCTCTCTGTGAAGATTCCACAGTGGATTCGTCGTTGGACAGGCAGTTCCAATACACACTGGCTTCTCAAACGTTGCCTTCCCGGGCAAAGAAACGCAGCATTGCGTTGGCATCAGCAAATTGGACAACTTTGTGAACAAGCCGAACTTGAAGCATTTCCAGGAGCACCAACAATCTTTCGACATCGAGATGTCAACAGAAAGGTGTTTGTGGACATACATGTGGATGATATCTTGTTGGTGTGCAAGCCTGCTGATGTTGAATGGTTTCAATCAAGAGTTGGCGTTACGTTGACAATGAAGGTCGATGGACCGCACATGCCTGGGGATGGAAGTCAAGTGATGTATCTCAAGAAGAGAATGACGATGAAACCTGGAGGTATCCTTGTACTCCAAAACTTATTGGGTTGATGAAAGTGAGTGGAAGGAGGAAGAAGGGTCTTCCATACCATGCAACTTTGGAAGCGTTCAGTGCAGACTTGATTGTGGAAAGTGAACTGCCCGACCATGAGCAAGCAGCAAACTTTCATTCAGGTCTTGGACTTGCACTCAGTCCATCTGGCAATGGACAGACCAGATATCCAGTTTGCGGTGAAGACTTTACCCTCCTACATGGCGCGACCCAATGTCAAAGCACTTTCGGCATTGAGGCATTTGGCTTCACATGTGGATGGAACTCCAGAACATGGCTTGCTTTTGCAAAACACTGAAGAGGACAAGTGTATCTTTGATGTGTGGCGTTATGATGAACTGATTTGTGATGAAATCAATGTGCCCCAGGAGAAGTCAGAAGCAAAGTTCAACCTTGACGCTTTCAGTGATTCTTCATGGCAGATTGCAAGTCTACTCGCCGCAGCATGAGTTCTGGTTTGAACGCATGTGGCATGTACCTCTATCGACTGTGCAAATTCCTGTGCAAAGATGATGTGGAGATGAACAACGACATGGTGCAGCAGAGACTGTACACAGACTCTTCATCAGCCCCCGCTCTAGTTCAGAGAGCTGGCACGGGAAGATTGAAGCACGTTCAGATCAAGCAGTTTTACCTTCAAACCTTTTTGAGAGCTGGAATCTTTACAATCCACAAGATGAACACAAAATTGAGCCCAGGTGATTTGAACACCAAAAGATTCAGCGGAGAAAGGAGAAAATTTCTGAGTCGTTTGATTGGACTTTTCATGGCCGACAGCTATGAAGAAAATGATGACAGTGAATTGAGAAGAGTGGGAAGGATCAATCGAGTATCAAGACAGCAATGCGTTCGCCTCATCCAGATGGCAACAGCAACATTGAATGTTTGTTTCCAATTGAAGGGATGGAGTCCTGATGTATCTCTCGATGCAGGTGATCAGAACTTCAAGCTCTACGATGGTGGTGCAACAGCTGCAATGGTGATGGAAGCAGTGTTGGAATGGACAGCTGGATTTACCTACGGATGCGCGATGGTGGTTGGAACGAGTCTTCATTACGGAATCTACATCGGTGGTTCCTTGGTTGTTCTTGCGTTGGTGATGTTTGTGGTCATGGGACCAGTCACATGGAGAAACAGCAGAATGACGCGATGGTTTGAGATTTGACATGCAGCTCAGACTAAGGGATGGAGACACCGACTATTCCTCAGACCGTCCTTGCAGTTGGCACATTACCTGTTAGGTTGTGAGATAGCCTACCCTCGTGAACGTTTCAGATGAGCAGGTCAACAAGGTGATATGATGGTCGACATTGAGAGCATTTATGACGATCTGAGCGAATACCTTGGTGAACAGCGGATTCAAATGGAAGAGCCAAGAGAAGCAGTACAACCTGAACCCGAAGGAGGTGAAGAAGAGCATCCGCCTGCAGATGATCCACCAGGCGGAGATGACAATGGAGATGATATTGTTCAGTGTTCAGGTGGCTTTGAATGGAAGGGTGATCGACAGAACAGCTACTGAGTCAGAAATTAATGCCCTTCATGGAATTGAAGAAGGTGGAGACGAAGATGATGACATGGGAGTTGGCGAATCAGCCGAACAATGCCGAGCTCGCTATATGGATGCCGAGCAGGGCGAAGTGTCAGACCCTGACGAGTGGGCCGAATTGCACTACGGCCACTTGGATCAGGACAACTATGACCGGATGACCGCCTTTTTTCGTGCAAATCAACAACGTCTGATCAATGCCAGTGCAACTCTTCGAGAGCGATACAACAATGCTGCTCTACATGGAAACTGGGAGGAAGCAACAAACTATGTGCGAGCAATCGATGAGGTTGAAGCATTGATTGACATCGCATAGCCGTGACAAAGTGGTGAGCAATGTTTGGATGAGTCTTGGCAGCCAATGCGATACTCCTTCTGAAGGAGAAACGCAAGCAACTGGGTGTAGTTTTTTTTCCAAGGTGCCCAGAACCCAGAGACCACATATGTATAGAGATTGCATGTAGCACAGATGGCCAATGTAATGGGTCAAAATTTGCATGGACACTTCAGCACAACGCGTGGCAAACAATTTGAAATTCCTTGCCAAGGTGGGGCGTCACAATTCAGTTGATGCACGCATGTATAGGTTTGCACGTAGACAGGTCTCCAGTTGGCACTTGGAACAACACTGAGAAGATTAGCATGGCCAGTTGCTCAGTTGTCAGATGACACGCACTAAATCGAGAAGTGAACTTCTGTTGCAAGCGGCTCGAACTAGCATGCGAGGAAAAGGGGCGCTTTGAGTAGTGCCGTGTGTTTTGAGAGTAACTGTTTTTGTGCCAAAAATTCGGAATTTTATGGAATTGGAACATTCAAATTCAAAAATGTCAAATTTAAAATCGATTTGACCGGCTTACTTCTCAGCCCTGAAGGCTTACATCCGAAAAACATGCAGCAACTTGTTCAAACAAAAAAATGGGATAAATTGATGGAATGTTTCACGAAAAAAATGTTCCCTGTTTATGTCGCCAATATGGGCTGCACATTGACACAACCATTCGACCGCATGTTGGCACCGTGAATCTCGATGTATGTTTTGCCGGAAATCAACCATCGTTCCGGTTTTACTTGCGCCTGGTGCTATGATGATCCGAAAGCCAAGCGGGTGAGGACATGGTGGAATCGGTTGGAACATGATTTCCGCACCTTTTGCTACGAGGCAGGTTTTTGAATTGAACAAAAATGTTACGCATTTTTCTTCCCATTGTTCTTGCAGTTTTGATTAGCGGTGGGTTGATGCCAATTGGAAACTCGAAACCCTTGACGTTCGATCCACCAAGGCCGCCATGTGCCAGTCGAACCACCGTTGCACCCAAGTGGCATGTTCCACATAGGGAGAGGTTTGGAATGGTGCCGCAGGCGCCGATATGTAGGCATGAGTGAAAATGGTATCCCCGTCCCCGTAAGAAAGAACCATGATGAGTAATTAAAAAACTATTAACAATATGTTTTTTTGGGCAATTTATTTTGGGACAGGACCCTGTGGGAAATTTGTAGAAAGATCAAACAGTTGAACCACCAATTACATTTCGAGGTCAACATTGATTGATGTTTTGTCACATCATGCGACGCAGGTTGGTGCAATTACCGGTTTTGGCATCACCTTTTGGGGAAGTGCAAGGCAAGGATGAACAACAACAAAAAACACGTGCACAATGGAAAAACATGTGATTTGAAAGAGTCAATACATCTGTTGCAGAATATCAACTTGATTTCATTCCGCACCTTCCGCTTGTGTTTGATGTAATGTTTTTCTTCCATCCCACGAATTGGACAATTTTGACTGTTGACTGCTGACAAATGTTTGGTTTGAACCAGGTTTTCTCGAAAACGCGCAAAAAAGTGTGGCCAATGTGCAGGCCAAGGTTTTTTTTTTCGCATGCTGTACCTTTTGCCGTATTACCGTTGCCTCCAATTGCAAGCTCCAGGTGCTACAAACACTGGTTTTTTTGTTGAATGGGCCAAATGGTTCGAGGCGCGCCAGGTCTGCCACAGTTTGAGGTGGATGAGCGCTCAAATACATTTTTTTTTTTGTGGAAAGTAAATCCTGATCAGCTGTTCAATTCACATTTGTTTCTTTCAATATACGTTTTGCCGCGAGATGCTTGCTGACAAGGAGGATATTGTGGAAAAAATGGACCTGCATGAAGAGTTGCCAGCACCCACCTTTGCGCAGAGGCCAAGTAGAGCTGCTAGTTGATCATGGGAATACTGTGCAGAAGTGGATGGAATTACTTGAAAACCGAACAATAATACCAACTTTAAACAGTCACAACTTTGAGGGCATCCCAACTGTGAAAACGCATGAAGTGATGCAACCAGGACCACTGCAAATCCGTTTGCGACTGTTGAAGAGGTGCAACTTCGAAAATCATTTTCCTGAACTGCAGAAAGATAAACTGAAACGTCATGACTGGGAAGGCATCAATCACCTCGCGGGTCTGGATCGCGAAGGCTCAATCAAAAACTAGCGGGGGAAGGGGGAAGGAGCGTCAATGGTGTCAATATGTGGAAAAATCATTCCTGGACTAGCCGTTTTTTCCAATCATTTTTACAACTTTGCTTTTGGTCTATTTTGATTGTTTTTTTTATTTTTTTTTGATTGTTTTGTGAATCATTTTGGTCTTGGAGACTCAAGTCAGAAGGAGGCGGAACCATTGTTCTCTTGCTGCAGGGAGGCGGACCTATTCGCCGGGCTCGATCTGTGATTGTGAATGCCGGGATAAAAGTTCAGGTGGGCTCAAGGGGAATCTCCAATGTCAGTCCTATCTGATTCCATGCGCCAACCCATATGTTGCCCTCTTTGCGGTTGATATACTATATATATATATTTCGTGATTGTTTTGTCGGGGTGGATCCTCCAGTATTCCAACCATGCACCATGGAATGGAACATATTTGTACAACTATATGCAAATATGGAATATCTGAAACTCCTGTAACATGAATACATCATGTTGTGTTGGATATCAACATATGTGATAAATATGTACTGTGTATAGCTAACTTAAACCATTTTCAACCGGAAGTGATGCAAATGTAGCATGTTTCCATGCATACCTGCTCAATGCTTCAGGCATACAATGTGGTTGTTTACCCTTCTTACGATCGAGGACTTCAACCGGCTATTGGAATAGATTTGTTGTCCTTCAGGCGCGAGGGCCATGCCTCGACCTTGCGCGTGAAACTGGTTGAAAGTGTCACTGGTGGCCTTCATAGCCTACGTTGGCCATGCTGATACTCTCAGTAGCTCAGATCTTCAGCTGTGCCTCAGTTCACACAAGCAGTTGCTCTTTGGCGTGGACTGGGCTCCGATGCTTCCTGGAGATGAGTATGCAGAGGCAAATCAGTGCCAACCATTTAACAATCAGAGTACATCCTATATCCCTCATGCCCTCAGGCCAAGATCGCACCATTTCTGTCATCGCTTCTGGACGAGTTTGACCACTTGAGGATGACCCCAAGTGGTAAGGCAGCATTGCACATCAAAATTATCAAACAGCAGCAAAATATGTATAGCATTACAGCCAGCGTCGCCAGCGTCGCCAGCGTCGCCAGTGTGCTGTCAGGTCTATGGTGAAGATCCCGAGTTTTTCTCCCCTTACATGTTTTTCAGCCGGCCCAGGGACAAAGA